ATCAATTGAAAACTTGATTTTAGCGAGAAAAACTTTTATTATTTATTATGAAACTGTTATGATTAAGGCAGATTTGATAGGCTATACTTGGGGCGTATTACAACAGTAAAGTGAATTATATTTATTATTTAAAGTAAAGTATATGGAATAGATGAAATAGTTTAACTGTTTTCTGAACAGAATTGTAATCGTTTGCCCGATTCTGGAAATATTATAGTTTAACTACAACGGAATCTGGGGGAATAATTCATTGTTATAGGAAACTGTATGTAATAACATTACAGTGTACATGAAAAAACATCTTATACTGACAGTGTTTGACATATAACATGGTAAATTTGCACCATTCAAATTACTTTCTACTTTGAAGCCTAAGGGATTGAAGAAAATCCGTTGGTTAGCTCAAAAATAAATGAATGTTAATTTGTTGATATTGTTTTTAGCTAGATTGTTTGCTCTTAGAGCTTTCCTTGTCGTCAACATAAACATCGTTAGTCGCTACTCCCTACCAAACTGAAAATCATGTCCATCCTTAAAATATTTGTTATACTTAATAACCGGAACGATAAAGACTAATATGTGTAACCTCATAGTATGAGCTGCATGTAGCCCACGCTTCCTCATCAGCTGCCTGAGATTTTATCTAAATCTAGATGTTTACCGAAAGGAATGAAGATAACCATTATGTTCCTTATTCTGTATAGTTCAAATAATTATCATAAAAAACACAGCATGTAAAAATCATTGATCATGTCTCATGAAACTTGTGGTTTTACAATCAGACACTTATTATTCCGTTAGTTAACCAAGGCAATACTAATCCTTAATCCGTCCCTTCAATAAAGTACTAATAATCTTGAGCCTGTTGACGAATCAAGCAAATAAATCTGCATTTCACGAAACCGAAACCCATCAGTGTCAGAGCCCCATAGAAAACTTGAAAGCACTATAGAGCCATTTCGTCCTGGTATGAGACTCTTCCTTATTTTTTATTTATAACATCTACATGCAGTAATCGAAACCAGGACCTCCGGTCATGCTCGTGTATTCTACGCCATTCACCCAGCATCCAACGATGTTACTGTCTGATTTCGATTAATCTACGGTAAATTGCGCGACCATCATCCATTACTTTCTATTAGTAACTGCCTCAAATGGTTGATCTCCACTGATCACAACTTACTAGAATTTCAAGAACTCTTTCTCAAAGCAAGTTACTAATGAGCAAATGATAATTGTCAGCATGTCATTTGTGGAGATTGTTAATTTCCATTAAAATCAGTGCCTCCACGTTTTGGCTGATGGTTTTACATCGATAGGTTCATACTTGTAATCAAACTGAATGATCTTCACAACTCTCATTCTAGAAAATCCGTTTTCAATTCATTAGTTAAGGCTTAAATCAAGTTATATCAATCAAATGGTCAAGTTTTAGTCAAGTAATATGATTTGTCGAATTCCGAGTCAACCAATCATAAGAATGAATTTGGTCCAATAAAACATGGCATTGTCACTATTCATGCGTTTCATACAAATTGCATTGTTTTCTAACTCTTCCTTTCTTGATCTTCCCCCCATGTTCGGCTGCCAGACATTACGTAGACGCTCACGTCATATACTACTTATAAGTAGCTCGCACCACAGCACCACAATTATACTGTAAACAGATCACTGATGGAAAATCTGTCATCGTGTAGATGTTATTTAAACTTCAGTATTTTCGTAAATATCAAACGACTTCTTATAAAACAATGAATATTAGCTACTGAATAAAGCCAACCAAACAGTAAAACACTATTTTATCGACATTATATTCTCATGTCAGTAACTTAAAACAATAAAATTTGAATCGATTATACTTATATGGTTAGATGTTGAGTGCCTTCTTTGTTATCAAAATGAAAATGAATTGAACAACATTTAGGAAATTCGAGAGTATTGTAAATTTTCTCATTTTATTCATTTTGTTTGTTTGCTTGTTATCGAACTGATTAAAATTGTCTAAAGTTTTATCCTAAAACTAGACCGTGATCACAGCAGAATGCATAAATAGGAATGGCACAAAAATACAGAACAATGTATACAACACACTTTAAGTAAGTTTGAGAAAATAAACCAGTTGTTCGTTGTGCAGTTTTATTTACTCACTGAACCAGTTTTACTCAGAGTTCAAAGTTCAGGTAAAATTATCATACACATGTAGTTTGGTGTCATAATATAAATATACTTAAAACTGAAGCTGAACTACATATTTAGATTTTGGTTGCTACGTGTATTATTGTGATAGTTAAGAGTGCCTACAAAGAGTTTCATGTTTGTTAAATGATTGTTCATGTCAGCCATTTGAGAAGTATTGTGAAACATTATATTCACATAAAATGTATTGTATTCTTTGCTTGTGTATCGTGAACAATATATTATTTTGTGTTATTTTACATTACTTTTGCATATTAATTAATAATGTTTGTAATCGCTTTCATCCTTGCTCTTCTTTACATATTCACTGACTCACGAAACCACTACCGTACATTTTGTGCATCGATAAATAAAATGATTTTAAGAGATTTGGGTCTTTTGATATTATCTTTTATCTAGTGATAGGCGATTTCCAGGGTTGCCCTGATATTTTGAAAAAAAGATCCGAACATGGCTTTTATTTTCTGAAAAAAAGTCTTAATGACCGCTCTTAATTACATCAGCTTTGGTTTATGTGCTGTTATTTAAAAGATAATGAAGGTTACAATAAGTTAGGAATTTTTTCGCAATTCATATTACCTCTCCTGCTTCATTTCTATAAAAAACTAATTTTTAATAAACAGATTTTACATGCGTTGATTCTACTTGATATCAGTTTATTAGAGATTATCATGCTCTTTCCTTTTGCTTACCGCTGATAACTTCATGATAAAAGAGATATGTGATTATTAAGGGTTTGAATCCCATCGAAACATTTGATCCTCATTTTTAATTGAGGATTATCCGTTTATCTCATGATTTACATTCATTACAATCCCGTCGCAAAAGTAAGGCCAAACATAACTCATCACTCACATCCTTTCTTAGATATGACCTGTAATAAACATGAAACTCTGACTTTGACGTAAACGATATAACTAATACATTTAATTAACTGTTAAATCCCTTCATGTTACATCAGAAGCTGGTAGCGTGAATGAGGAATTCCGATTTTCACAACTGCATATGATTAAAACCAGTAAATTCATTATCAACAACTGCAGATAATAATTAATGCTTGCTGAAAATTTTGAATTTGTATTTTAAATGGATTTTGACATTTTATCTCGATGAATTTTGTGCATCTTTACATCGACATATTTTCATTATAATTATATTTCGTAAGTAAGTAATTTAATCGTTCAAAGTTGGATTTCTATTCTCGTTTATGTAATACGTTTCATGCGTAAACTTTATCAATACTCAAAATAAATATAATTTGAATTCCATTTAAGAACCGAATAACCTCTGCAAAACAGAACGAGAAGAATAATTATCATTTTTTTTGAGGAATTCTGTTGGAGATGTTAGATCCTCAGAACTCGCTTGATAAATATCTTTATTTTGGATTTTATTCATGGGCTGATCAGTTGATCTTGAGATCACATTTTCCACCAAGAAAATCCTTGGCTGTGATTGTTTACTGTGTCATTTTAGTAGGTTATTTTTGTGACTGTCCGAAGGACGTCTCTATGGAGTACAAATAAATGCAATTTGAGTACTTGGATTCATTGTGTGCTGGCTGGGTTTTTGTAGAATACACTTTCTACGCTATATCAAGACTTCTTGTTGGTAAAATTGGGTCAAGGGATCACAGTAGCCTACCTAGACGCTTGTTCATTGTTTTTTTCTCATTATTTGACTAAGGTGAACCCGTGCAGCCACCAGTCTGAACAGAATGAATTTCAAGTCTTTTGGCTTTGGATACTTTTTATTTAACAAAGAAAAACACATGCCTTACCTGCAGTTACAAGTTAATTTTATCAATGCACTATAAGCTAAGGCAAAGTTTCCATTTGAAAAGCCTGTATGCCCGTCAAAATCTGATTAAATCTTAATCACATATATATTCAAAACAATAACCAGATAATTAGAAGGAAAAAACTGTTTTCAACTTTGAATAAATATCAGTCATTTTATTTCAGATAATTTTTTTTTCGGAAAATTATTATTATTATTATTCGTATCATATTCACAAAGCTTTAAATATCTTGTACTGCTTTTTTTTGAAAATTTCAATTACAATATTGTTATTAGTTCTAATTTATTGCATCAAATGAAGTATTATTTTAAAAAAAGAAGGTGATCGAAAGATCGAAAGAATAAAATGTTTTCTTTAAGATTTATAATTCAGGAGGTTTTATGAAAAGAAGCAAGTAAGTGTCACATTGACTGTTTTTTAGTGATATCGTTTATACATGGTCTTCATGCTACAGCTGTATCGAGAGTTGACACATATTCTACACATATACGAAATTAGACTGTTTGAAGCATTTTGTACTGTTGGATGAATGTTAAACTCAGAGTACCAGTGATACTACATATTATCTTGACAGCTTCAACTTGAGTATGTAAGTTAGAGAAAATGATTGTAACTCAAAGAATCAGGAATTGAAAAGCAGGTAAGAAAGAAATAACTAAAATGAACTGGGCTTCTTCATTTTAGTCACTATTCATATTGTTATGGAATGAATAAATGATCAGAGAACCTTGACAAGTAACATCAGTAAAAATTATCAATAAATATATAAATAAAATATATATATGCATAGATTTAATAATAAAATCAAAGTATTTCCAAAAAGAACAAAATGCAAATACTGGAATGTATCATCATCATCATCATCATAATAGTGTCGTGTCATGTAGTTAGACGCATTAGTACATATTGCGAAATACATAGAATATATAGAATGCAACGAGATAATAATACTATTAGGATGATATATATTTTTTTCATATTGATTAGCACTAAGTATTTTTACTTTGTCAAATCAATATAAGGATTTATTGAATGATTTTGATCAAATTTATTGTTACCAGTTAACATTGTTTTATTGCCTAATGGAAGTGTTGATGAATGATTTTTAACAGATAGTTTTGTCAATGGAAATTCGTCAAACAAATGATTATGATGTCCTAAGTCTGTATTGCTAAACAATGGTTTACGCCATCTTGGTTGTAGTGTAGTAGTATCTTTGGAAATTGGTGTTTGAACCTGTGAGTTTATTGAATTGCCATTATGTTGTATTGCATAAATAAATTGTTTGTTCAATGATAGTCGATGATTTGTAAATGTATTCATTGTAGGCAAATTAGATTGTGTACAAGGAGTTGATTCGTTTAGAGAGCAATGATTGCCATTTTTGTTAGTTGGACTATCAATCAAACAACCATTGGATGAGGATATTGGACTGCATTGTGTTTTGGTTAGTAAAAGTTCTTTTGAATTATATGGACGTGTATATTTTGACCAAACTGGAAAAAAAAATCAGAACAAAATATCTATCAATAATTTTGAATACAAAATCAGAAAGCTTTACTTGATTGTTGTCACCGCAAGTTACAATCGATCATTTTTGAACATTTTCCCCGCATCATATACGTAAAAAACAGACTTTATTGCTAACATATGGTGACCATATTAGACAACGTACTTCTAAAAGTGTAGAGACGTACGTTTGCTACGCATTCATAAATCATATTTAGTAATTTATCAAAACTCGTAGGATATGATTAAACGAAACACTTCATCTCCATGAATAGAATGTTTTTCTTAGGTATCTTACTAATTCAGTTTGTGAACTCGCTTGTTCATAGTTCATACTTCTTCGAAGTACTTTTTTTCAACTGCTTTCATTAAAGTTGTAGAAGTCAGCATTTAAACAATTTTTGATGAACTCAAATTTACAGTACTGTTAGAAACATGCTAGGGAAACGTATCTCGATTGACTTTAGTCAATTTCCTCTCATACCTTTCGAAAGAAAGAAATTGATTTATTATAAAGGCAGAAAATTTGTTTGTAATTTATATCTGTTGTAAAGATGTGTCTCTTTTAACTAATCACTTTTTTTCAATAATAAAAAATAAAATCTACCTTAGTTTTGTAAACGGATGAAACTGTCTTATTATACTTTCTGACAAAAAGAATAGTATGCACATTAATTGTATTATTTTCCGTTAAATTTTCTCGAATTTTTTGTCGAATTGTAAAATTTTCTTACAACTAGAAATTACTAGTTCATTCTGACGAGTGTAATTGTTCCTGATGAAAATGACAAGCAAACTATAAATTGTAATTTGTCAGTAAAGGACATTTGTTTTTAAAATCGAATTATACTGGAGAAAAAGTAATAAAATTTTTACCTGTTTGAATAGTCTTTCTGAGTACAGTTACTTTGAGATTAAGCGTTCGCTCACATTACCGAAGGTCCCGGGTTCAAATCCTGCGATTAGCAGGAGTCGTGGATGCGCACTGCTGAAGAGTCCCATAGCAGGACGAAACGGCTGTTCAGTGCATCCAGGTTTCTAATGGTGGTTTAACATTGGTCGATTCGTAGTTTCAAAAATGTGTGAGTTAGGATTCTTTTGACTAAACTTAGATAATTTTACAATAATATTGTTGTCCATGGTATTTTAGCCAAGAGACTAGCAGAAAAAACTATTTGTTTCAGCGGTCTGTTATGTGCCATGTATATTTTTCACTTTTAGGACATTTGTAATAATTTCACTTTTAAGAGACTCGCTAAAGAGCAACATTCATTATTATGGCCAGTTGTGCCAGCGAACATTTAATCTAACCGTTTTGTTTATTCATATATTTGCACCACTTGTTCCTCCTGCGCTGTCGCCATCTTGCTTTTGCTGCTCAGTACTTTTCGCCTGATTTTCTAGCACTATTTCAGTATCCTTTTGACACCGCGAAATCGTTAGCAAATTTACTTACTTCATCTGGACTATTTTGTCTTCCCTTTTACTAATTCGAGATGGGATTACGCTTCAGACCCAAACGTAATTGGTTGGCAGAGTTGTTCACAGTCATTCAACTCGAACATCTACACATTATGCATCATTTATAGAAAATTAAAAACCTCATTAATTCAGTGTATGTTCTTATCTTTAGAATGGCTGAGGAAACAATTAAATGATAAGTTAGACTGCTTAGTGCATTTACAAATTGATAAAGTAAAATCACTGCTCCGATTAATTTAAAAACAAAATTTTCTTCAAAGTTTCGTAAACATTATTTAGTAGAATAACGTGTTAGATTTCAACTAATTAACTACACTGGTTTAGACTGAATATCATATTTCAAACTCACTCTTTGACATTTCATGATTCACAGGTTCTTCTTCACTGGCTCCTTGTCCAGAATCAGCACTTCCTCCATCAACTTCTGAAACAGTGACATTCATCTGAGGTTGCTGAATGAAATTTTTAGAAAAGAAAAATAATAGAGTGGGGACAATATTACTATTTATCAGCTGTGGTACATAAAAGAATTTGATGCAAATCCTTACTAACCTCAATAACTGTGAGATATTTTCGACGAATTCATTAAAAAAACTTAACTCATTTCAGGTTTTTGATCATCACAAAGATATACCCATATAATCTTAAATAATCTAATGCTTCCTAGTGGGTTTAAAACTACGAAAATAAACTTTAATACCGGAGAAGTTACTTTTGAGCTATTCTAGCAGTGACTAACCTCTTGAAAGACTGAGGTATATAAAAATGATTGATGACTCAGTAGTGAAAAATGACCTATTTGATAGTCAAAGGCTAACAAAAAAAGTCAAATAGCACAAAACCTACTTTCAGGGTTTCATTTTAACTACCTCCAACTGCTTAATACTTCAACATAAAGCATGCGCTGTATGTCCCGTCGAGTTACACTCTACGTTACAAAATGATAGATAGAACTTCGCCATGACACTGGTTATTGTTCAACAACTAATAAATTGTAAATATTCACTAACTATATTCGATTAAGAAAAGACTGATTCCAGTTTACAAGAATTATCACAGTATCTACTACTGCCTAGATGAACAAACAAAAATATTTTTTGACGATAAATCATTATTACTTAAAAGCTGTCAATATTTCTCGACATCTATGGGAAACCTCATAATAATAATAATAGCATGAAACAGTAGTTTTATTTATTCCCATAACTTTTTAATTTACTATGAGAAAAAAAAATTAAAGTCGTATGACTGAGCTGAATCAAGTGAGAAGTTATTCTTACGTTTTCCTTTTCCTTGTGTTTGTTTTAATGTGAGCAAATTTACTACTGAATCGAATCAACTTTCATGTTTTTGAGCTCTAATTTTCTTTCAAAAGTTAGTTTAAAGAATCTGTGATTCAAAAAGTTGATTGACTTATCAACATGTCAAAAAAAAAATTTCCCGCATGCTTAGGGAATTCCGGCATACTGTGTAAGTGAACCGACTAACTTTATTGAAAGAATGAGTAATATGTTGGGAAAGTAACATTCTTATTAGCATTGTTGATTGGCATGTAGTGTATCCTAAATTACAATTTCGGGAAAACAAATCTATATTCGCATTACGAGGTTGTGAAGATTGTTAAGTTACACATTTTTGAAACCATGAATCGATCAATGTTAGACCACCATTAGAAACCTGGAAGCACTGGACGGCCGTTTCGTCCTGGTATGGGACTCCTCAGCAGTGCGCATCCACGAGGTTGCGCAACTCCGTGAATATGATCAAGTTAGACATTAACACCGTTAGATACCTGCTCAGTGGTCTATCGGTTAGGGCGTTCGCGCACAATACCGAAGGTCCTGGGTTCGAATCCTGCGGGGTGCAGGAGTCGTGGATGCGCACTGCTGAGGAGTCCCATACCAGGACGAAACTGCCGTCCAGTGCTTCCAGGTTTCTAATGGTGGTCTAACATTGATCGATTCATGGTTTCAAAAATGTGAAATCTATATTCACTAATCTGTTGAATTGTGTGTGATTTCTGGGAAACTGGCTAACTTATGTATCCCAACCTTGTTGAATGTTACAAACACGTTATACAATTGAAAAGCAAATCTAAAATTTAATATATATTTCACATATTTAAAACAGATATTCCCTTTTATAAATTTTGATGGAATATTGAGAAGACGTAATTAATTTGAAAAATGTGATGTATCGCAAAACACAATTGAGACAGGACATAAGATTGACAATAAGACAGCCTACAAAACATTGTATAGAAATGTTGAAGGATGAATTTTGAGGTTTCTGGACGCTTTGGCTATTCGTAACTTAAAACAATTTGTTATAACCTTGAAGCCTAGAGTAATGTGACAGTTTTCCTACCCTTTCTTATTCTTTTCATATTACGGTAATTTTCTCTCTCCTTTATTTACAATTATCACCTTATGTCTATTTGAACTTTTATTTAATTGACCTTTTATAATTCTTCATATATGAATGCCTTGACAAGTAAATATGTGTGACCAGATTGTTCGAAATGTACACAGAGCAATTACAACACATTTTTCAGATCTCTTACGTCTTCTCACTGTTCTATCAAAATATTTCACATAGTTGACAATATAAACCGAAAAATCCGTCTAGACAGAACAACTTACTAACAGTCATATCTGTGAACAACAAGAGTTCAAATAAATAAGTGATCATCAATAACATTAAGCTAATATAAACATCTGTCATGATGAATTGCATGCATCACAAAAAACACTTCTGAAGACTCTGTGATATGTCTTGACAAGAAAATGGTAGTCAGCTGAAAAAGATCATTCAAATATACATAAAATAACATCATTAGTTACGTTTGATTTCTATTTGCATAAAAACCATGTAGACTTTAGAATTTTGAGCGATTTATAGCAATAAACTTGACATCACCAGCTGCAAAGATAACTTTAATTAGTAATTTCATATTAAAAATCTTTCTAGGCAATTGGGCACCTGTAATTACATCAGTTTAGTAAATATTCTAAAGACTCGAACATGGATACTGCATGAGATATCATTACTTGTATGTATACGTATATATATAAACTTACTAAGTGCATAAAACTAGTCATGCTTGACACTATGAATATATTTCCTGTTTCAAATCAGCTGTTACTATTATTATTATTACTAGCTTGTTTTTAATGGGACAGTTGATATATTATTGGCGAAAAGGTCAGTTCACACACTTTTTTTTATCATTTGCATACAAAAGTTGGTAATAAGTTTTAATGAAATTAACGCTTAACACCTTTTTGTCAAATAAATTAATTTCTGTCTAGTTAGTATACTATTTATCTAAAATATATAGATGATACACTGTGCACAATAAACTAATTCTTCTCATAAAATAATACACTTTTCGATAAAAAGTAATCATTTGAAGTGCCTCTTATTTTATTAATTGAAAATGTTTTGTCTTTTTTATTCGAAATTTCAAACATCACAGGTGGTCCTTTGATTTGAAAATATGTGTAAATATTTTTGACACAAAATCACATTGTAATTTTAAGAAAAAGTTGTCAGCAAAGAAAAAAATTAATTAATTAAAACTAACAAGTAAATACAACTATGAAAAGATTTTTTTTTAAAAAAAAGTATGTTTCAGAAACAAAAATAACAACTGATAAATGTGTTTACAATTAGATGAATAACAAGCATTATTAATTGAAATTATTACAATGTATTTATTTTTATGTTCCAGTGTTAATGGCTACTTTAATTAATAGAATCTCTAAGTATTTTGTCATAAACATGTTTATTTAGAAAAAAATAAAATAAATGAAATTATTTATTTGCATCTTTTGGCTAAACAGCGATGTTGATGGCAATAAACAGTTTGTACATTCATATTTAAATGAATGCTCAAGTTTGAAATCTACTGAATTTATGTAAAATTATTTGTTTTTTTCTAGATTCTAAAGCAAAAATATGCATCAAAATCGATCGAATGGCTTTCATGTGATTTTAGCTCACTCACATTCTAAAATGTTTGCCGCCTGTATGCTTAGGCATAATATTCATAAACCAACAGGATTTATCTTGTATGATTATTGAATGATAACTTTACTACTTTGAACTTTCAATACAGATGGATAATCATGGATGAGCGATAGGAGGGAGTTGTATATATGAGGATGAAATGACCGTTGTTCAGTGATTTCCATGATTTCTAACAAAGATCAGCTCATGATTTCAATTCAGAAGAAAATTTAACAGTCAACATGTAAATCTAGTATGATATATTCAGCGGAAAATGAAATTCTAAATTATTTTTCATGTTAAATTCACTTTCTACTCATTAGCATCTGATTCAGAATGCTCAAAAAGGTTTTCCTCAGAAGCTTATCTATTCTTCAAGTTTAAAAAATAAAAATAAAACGTGGGTTAAAACGAAAACTTGAATGAAAACTAATGAAGTTGACCAAAATAATTATGAAAGAATTTCCTCTTATACGTGAGATATTGTAGTGAATAAAATTCTTGGAAAATATATATTTATATACGTATGCATAGAATTTTTGTACGAATATAAATGTCCGTATGACAGTAAATATGGTAACTTTATATGATAAAAAATTTAGTCACGAAATGTATAATTCACCATTGAAAGACAAATCTTCACAAAATTCATTTGAAATTGCGAAATATTCACACAATTACCACGATTAAATCCTGAATTACCAAAGTAATATCATATTAGCACAAAGTAAACTGATAAATAACTCATGTCGATAAACTATCCATGAAACAAATGTTCGGATGTAAATAATTTCTCAAATTCATTACTCATTACATAACTGTTAAGTTCGTCACTAGGTACGCTTGAAACTATTACGAATTCACCTTAGTCAATAAACGTGAACGTGACAATTACCAGCGTCCAGATAGGCTACTTTGAATCTTAAGCTGTAAACAGAAGGCTTGGTAAGCGTAGAAAGTATATTCTACGAACATCCAGCAAGCACAATATACAATCAAGCACACAACTTTCGTTTATTTATACATCACAGAAACGTACTTGGGACAGTCACAAAAATGGCACACAGCAGCCAATCACAGCCATGGATTTTCTTTGTAGGAAATGAAATCTCAAGGTCAATCGATCAGCCCATGCTGGCAAACGTGAAATCTAAAATAAGGCATTTGTCAAGCGAGTTCTGGGGATCTAACATCCCCAACAATAACATTAGCTGTCATTTTCAGAATATTGTTCAAATAATGATTTATTCAGATGATGTAATCAATAAACTGTTGAAACAAATGAGTGAATGATGAATCATAGAGATAAAGAAAACCGCTCTAACATTGTGTTGGTTAGGCATCTCAAAAGACAAGTTTTCAAGAGAACAGTTTTCACCCGAGTTATTTAGTCGCGAATGGAAATAATTTAATCTAAGATTTCAAAAGTCAGTCATTCATG